AAAGGACCATGTGTTTTTTATATTCAAGAAAGTGGTTATTGGCGAGCGAAGCGAGTTCGATGTCGAGAGTGCCGCGATGCAGACGACGCCGGGCACGGCGGCGGCGATCTCCAGCCAGATCCGGCCGAGGAGGCGTGGCGGTGGCCGGATCCTGTTGCAAGTACGGCGTGGAGGCGATCTAGGAGGCGCGGGAGGAGGTCCAGCGGCGGGGCTTGAACTCCAAGTTCATGGCGGTGGCGTTCCTCGCCGGTTTCGATCGAGATGGCGAGCTCCGACAGGGTCTCTCCATGGCGACGGCGGTGCTGCACCTGTGAGAGAGACAGAGGTAAGGGGGACAGAAAGGAAGGAGGAGAGGCAGGGAGAAACACACCTGCATTAGTTAGAATTCAACCCACAATCCTTTATTTGTGTATCTTATCTAGACGCACGCGCCCATTCGGTCATGCGCCGCCGGCAGCCGTCTTCGGCCTCCGCCAGTCCTAGCCCTGTCGTCCGTCCGGGACGTCGGCGGAGATGGCTACGGCCGCTGCTGAGGGTGAGAAGGCGGTCGCCGTTCCTCGGACGGGAGGATGGAGGAAGCCTTGCCGGGAGGATATTGGCCCGATCTGGAGCGCTGGGCTGGTGGCCAGATCGGACGACAACAGAGGAGCTCCAAGGCGCCATCGTTGCGCGTTCTCCAAGCCACCACGGCCGCGCACTACAGGAATGGCGGAGCGACGCCAAGCCGTTCTTGGGCACTCTGGATAGAGAAGGGAGAGCAGTGCATCAGGTAGAATGGAGAAGAGGAGGAAATGTGCGGTGGGTGTTGCCAGATGTTGTGTGGATAAGGGACACGTGGTGGGTAATGGGTGTTGTGCTAGATGTTGTGCTGGACCGACCGAAGCTGCTGGATCAATGCACAGATTACAATTTTTATGCGGGATGAGCACTTGCTTGCTTCTGTTTGTTTGTTAATTTACTATATATATTTATGCCTACTACGTCTTACGAATACATTATCTGATACACTCTCTCTGTTTCTAAATATAACTTTTCTTAAAGATTCTAATGTGAGGTAAATATGGAGCAAAACAAGTGAATCTACACACTAAAATACGTGTATATTCATCTGTACGTAGTCCATATTTAAATCTCTAAAAGACTTATATTTAGAAACAGAAGGAATAATAATTAAAAGTGAGTGACATATTGAAAAATAAATTCTTAAAGGAGATGATATTACCTGGGTCGGCGCAGCTTGCGGCTGCGCTCTATGTCTCTCGCTCGCTTGCTCAGGACTCGGGAGAAGGTGGCTGGGCCTCTGCCAATTCGATTCAGGCCAAGAGAATTATATGGTAAAAAGGAAATTCGCAAATTTGTAGATGTGCCACGGTACACCCGGTATACCCCGTGGGTACGCAAATGTTGACAGATAAACTCTCGAATACCACACGGACTCTTAGATTTATTTTAATATTTTGTATGACACTTGGATTAGGTAGCAAAAAAATTTAGAACGTGCACACCCTTCATTTTATTCTTGCGTCCACCACTATCTGTCAATCTGAATAATATGATTTTCAATTGCAAGACTCATAAGAATCCACTTTGTGAAGATTCAGTTGTATTTCAAAAACTTGTAATCTTTTTCTGTTCTGCTAATAAAACCCACGCATTTGACTCGCTCTAAAAAAATTGGATTACGTGTAACAAGTTGTTGATATTCAACAACCCCGCGTTAAAGTAATTACATAAGTCTATACATTTATCGATCCTTCGATGCGTACGTAATTGTGCATCATTTGTATACCTATAGCACCTTCAAATAAGTAATATATTAATTCCTATATCTTCCAATCCCTATTAACATTAATATTTATGCATTCCTACTTTAAAAATATGGTGGCCAGAAAGTAAAGAGTTTACGGTGGTTCGCGCTATTTTATTGACACGTTGCCGCTAGTAGTACGAGCACACCCTCTATGCCAACATGACCACTTCCATGGACATTATCAACGGTCCTCGATGGGATAAGGATTAGGGTAGACAGAGCTGCGAGATAGATGGTACAACAGAAGGGAGTGCCCCCCCCCCCCTCCTAGCTGCCATGCGGGGCGAAACAAGACGCGAGCAAGACGCTGTTCTCGTACTCTCTCTACTCTTCATCCCTCGCTGTCTCCTCCCAATCTCACCAAGACATCGATGCCATCTAGAGTTGAGGAATATCTTGATGTTCAGCAAGTAACCGTGAGACCTAAATATCATCTCCTTTAAGAATTTATTTTTCAATATGTCACTCACTTTTAATTATTATTCCCTCTATTTCTAAATATAAGTCTTTTAGACATTTGAATATGGACTACGTACAGATGAATATACACGTATTTTAGTGTGTAGATTCACTTGTTTTGCTCCATATTTAGTTCATATTAGAATCTTTAAGAAAAGTTATATTTAGAAACAGAGGGAGTGTATCAGATAATGTATTCGTAAGACGTAGTAGGCATAAATATATATAGTAAATTAACAAACAAACAGAAGCAAGCAAGTGCTCATCCCGCATAAAAATTGTAATCGGTGCATTGATCCAGCAGCTTCGGTCGGTCCAGCACAACATCTAGCACAACACCCATTACCCACCACGTGTCCCTTATCCACACAACATTTAGCAACACCCACCGCACATTTCCTCCTCTTCTCCATTCTACCTGACGCGCTGCTCTCCCTTCTCTATCCAGAGTGCCCAAGAACGGCTTGGCGTCGCCCCGCCACTCCTGTAGCGCGCGGCCGTGGTGGCTTGGAGAACGCGCAACGATGGTGCCTTGGAGCTCCTCTGTTGTCGTCCGATCTGGCCGCCCGCCCAGCGCTCCAGATCGGGCCAATATCCTCCCAGCGAGGCTTCCTCCATCCCCCCGTCCGAGGAACGGCGACCGCCTTCTCACCCTCAGCAGCGGCCGTAGCCATCTCCGCCGCCGTCCCGGACGGACGACATGGCTAGGACCGGCAGAGGCCGAAGACGGCTGCCGGCGGCGCATGACCGAATGGGCGCGTGCGTCTAGATAAGATACACAAATAAAGGATTGTGGGTTGAATTCTAACTAATGCAGGTGTGTTTCTCCCTGCCTCTCCTCCTTCCTTTCTGTCCCCCTTACCTCTGTCTCTCTCACAGGTGCAATACCGCCGTCGCCATGGAGAGACCCTGTCGGAGCTCGCCATCTCGATCGAAACCGGCGAGGAACGCCACCGCCATGAACTTGGAGTTCAAGCCCCGCCGCTGGACCTCCTCCCGCGCCTCCTAGATCGCCTCCACGCCGTACTTGCAACAGGATCCGGCCGCCGCCGCGCCTCCTCGGCCGGATATGGCCGGAGATCACCGCCGTCGTGCCCGGCGTCGTCTGCATCGCGGCAGTCTCGACATCCAACTCGCTTCGCTCGCCAATAACCACTTTGTTGAATATATAAAACACATGGTCCTTTTTGTAAGAACAAAACGTTTTCTCACAATAGCACTTCAGATTGTACTGCGGGTTGAATATCCAAAATAGGAGGGACTTTTTTATAAAATTTCCACGACGGACGACCAGAAGCAATGCGTGGTTTATTAGTAGGGAAAGAAATATATATAGTAAATTAACAGACAAACTGAAGCAAGCAAGTGCTCATCCCACATAAAAATTGTAATCGGTGCATTGATCCAGCAGCTTCGGTCGGTCCAACACAACATCTAGCACAACACCCATTACCCACCACGTGTCCCTTATCCACACAACATCTAGCAACACCCACCGCACATTTCCTCCTCTTCTCCATTCTACCTGACGCGCTGCTCTCCCTTCTCTATCCAGAGTGCCCAAGAACGGCTTGGCGTCGCCCCGCCACTCCTGTAGTGCGCGGCCGTGGTGGCTTGGAGAACGCGCAATGATGGCGCCTTGGAGCTCCTCTATTGTCGTCCGATCTGGCCGCCCGCCCAGCGCTCCAGATCGGGCCAATATCCTCCCGGCGAGGCTTCCTCCATCCTCCCGTCCGAGGAACGGCGACCGCCTTCTCACCCTCAGCAGCGGCCGTAGCCATCTCCGCCGCCGTCCCGGACGGACGACAGGGCTAGGACTGGCGGAGGCCGAAGACGGCTGCCGGCGGCGCATGACTGAATGGGCGCGTGCGTCTAGATAAGATACACAAATAAAGGATTGTGGGTTGAATTCTAACTAATGCAGGTGTGTTTCTCCCTGCCTCTCCTCCTTCCTTTCTGTCCCCCTTACCTCTGTCTCTCTCACAGGTGCAGCACCGCCGTCGCCATGGAGAGACCCTGTCGGAGCTCGCCATCTCGATCGAAACCGGCGAGGAACGCCACCGCCATGAACTTGGAGTTCAAGCCCCGCCGCTGGACCTCCTCCCGTGCCTCCTAGATCGCCTCCACGCCGTACTTGCAACAGGATCCGGCCGCCGCCGCGCCTCCTCGGCCGGATCTGGCTGGAGATCGCCGCCGCCGTGCCCAGCGTCGTCTGCATCGCGGCAGTCTCGACATCCAACTCGCTTCGCTCGCCAATAACCACTTTGTTGAATATAAAAAACACCGGGTCCTTTTTGTAAGAATGAAACGTTTTCTCACAATAGCACTTCAGATTGTACTGCGGGTTGAATATCCAAAATAGGAGGGACTTTTTTATAAAATTGCCACAACGGACGCAATGTGTGGTTTATTAGTAGGGAAAGATTAGAGAGAGATGTGTTGACCATCGCACAGTGAACACAGAAAACTGCCATGGTAGCATTCCTGATCTTGCAGCTTAGTGATGTTGGAAATCTAAAAAGACATTATGATGTTGCTGAAGATCTTAAACCGGTGTCCAAAAAAGAACCTACCTGGACCGATCCTACGCTAAGAAGCATACGGATTGACCACTCATCTTATTGACTAGATAGCACAGCACAGCACACTCAAAGAAACACATCTACTTGACCACGTTGCGTGCGTGCGTCACACAGTTCGCCCATGAACTCTAAATTACATCGAACATCTCTTACATGTCGGCGGCGATCCCCTCGTCGTCGTTGGTGACGGCGGACTCGATGCGGGGAGGAGTGCCGCGGACGGCGCATCTGGCCCGGATCTCGCCCTTGTCGCCGGTGAGCAGGTCCATGTTGACCATCTTGGCCATCGACTTGGAGAACTGCTGGAAAAAGGCGTCCTGGTTGAGGGAGAAACGGGTGGCCATGCGCTGGGTGGCCGTGTGGTTCATCAGCCCCTGGTCGGACTTGAACAGCCCCTGCCTCGCGATCAGGTCGAAGTAGTACTTGTTGTCGAAAACATCGGGCGTGCGCACGTCGAGATTTTGCTTCAGGGTGCCTTCGGGGGTGTCCTTGGCGCACTTGTTCCGCAGCATCGTGGCGAACCTGCGGTCGATGGCCGGGTTCGTGTCGAAGCCATCCTTGAACCGGTCATGGAAGGCCGGGCAGTGGGCGACGCCGAAGGTGTGCGCGCCGGAGAGAGACACCAGGTCCTCCACATTGAGGCCGCGGTCGCCGAAGGACTTGATGAGGGTGTCCACGGGGTGGAAGGGCGCCGGCAGCAGGCCGACCTGGTCCTTGGACGCCGGGAAGAAGGAGTCACGGCGGCCGAGGGTGACGTCAAAGCGGGGCCCGCCGGCCATGATGAGGGAGGCGCGGGTGGCGAGGATGGTGATGTCGGCGCAGGACACCGTGGCCTTGCATTCGGTGTGCACGGTGGCCCGGATGCGCTCAATGAGGTCCAGCGCCACTCTGCGGAGCGTCCTGTTGGGGATCTCATCCTGCTCGGTGCCGGGGCCCTCGATGAGCACTGACGCGTCGCAGCCCTGCAACATTAGGATGAAATATGTCATGCATTTTGATACATGCATACATACACCGTCCATCCACAGATTGACTGACAAAAGATGTTCTAAGTTTTTTCTTGAATGAGATATACACAGGTACATTCTAGTGTGTTTCTTTGCTTATTTCAGTCCGTTTATGGTCCATATTCAAGTGCCCAAAATATTTTACATTTGTAAACGAAGGAAGTACAAACAAATTTTGGACGTCGATACGCACCTGCGGGAAGCAGTCATGGAAGAGGATGCGGATGAGGGCCGGCGCCACGCCGGAGTCGTTCTTGAAGGCCTTCCACACGTGGTCCGCCACGATGTGCTCCAGCGCCGGGCATGTCGCCGCGTGGAAGTCAGGGGACAGACCCCCGGTGGCCGCCGCCACGGAGAGTGACGACTGCACGGCACAGACCAAGGCCAGGACCACCACGGCCGCCGCTGCTATTCTGGACGCCATTGCTAGCTGCTAGCTCTGTGGCTGTAGGCTGTAGCTGAGCTTGTTGCACCTTCGTACGAAGGCCGTGTGGCTTGCACAAGGTATCCACTGCCCCTTGTTTTTTATAAGCCGAACGACCAGTTACCTCCATGCTCGATGTGTGCGTGCGTGTGTGATCCACACGATCGACTAGTTGAAGAGAGAGCGTAGCATTTTTGCATTACGAAAGTGGAACGATAAGATGCATGTGCAGGTCGCATGGACCAAGGTGGCACTTCCTTTGAACTTGCCACCCTTCTGGTTTCTATATGCATGTACAGCTGACAACCCACTAGTTTCTATATGCATGTATGTAAGTCAAAAGGGACTTGTTAATTTGGCAGCGGCATGATTTACGGATCACTAGAACATGAAGGCGAGCTTCGCGGCGCCCGCCCATAATGACAATGAATAATAAAACTATCTTAAAATAATCCAAGCAGTATTTGAGAAAATTTGAATATTTTGTATGGGTCCAAATATAAGGGAGAGATATTTCCAAAATAATCGTAATACGTGTTAACCTTTAAAAGTAAATTTTGGTATGTGCGTCTCAGTGATGCAGTGAGACCATAACAAAATTAGCCTTTTGGATCTAACTCCCAGTAAGGAAAATATATCAATTGTAAACAATACTTCGAATTGACTCAAGTGCAGCTTTAATCCTCACAGCCCGTCCCCCGCAAAAAAAAAATCCTCACAGCGCGTCAGATACACATTAAAACGTCAGATCCAATTGTCATGCTATCGATTTTATTTATGATGCGGTGACCATGATTTGAGCAGTAAGAGATCTCACAACTAATAGACTATTGTTTTAGTATGTAGACAGCCTGGGGCGCATGGTGATGGTGCATAGATTGTCAAGTTGGGCCTTGTCAAATCACTGTAGGAATGGAAAGTTGGCTTTATCAATTTCATGTCATCTGGATTTGTAAACCTAAGAATAGGTTCAGATGTACATCTTGGGCAACTCGTTCAGCTGAAAATTTACAACTTCTCATAAAATTACAAAACATATTTAACAGCATAGTTTTAAATAGCGCGCTAAGCATCTTAGCGGCAGACCTCTTCCAAATGCTATAGCGGGCTATTTAAAATGTTTGTTCATTTGTTTGGACCAAAGTCTCTTAGCGCAAAACCTTTTGTAAACGCTATAGCGGACTATAGCGGAGCTATAGCGGGCTATTTAAAACAGTGTTTAACAGCCTGCCTGCCTAACATTATCAAATTAAGCAGAAATAGTTTAGGCTTCACCGGTCGCCTGCAATACTTGCCTTTAGGTCTCAAAAGCTTAAAAACGATATATTAGGCAGTGTTAGTACGGTGCGACAAGCAATCTTAATAACCAAACTAAATCCTAAATCTTGAAAAAGGAACCCAAGATTGCTAAAACATGGGCACTCACCCTGTGCTCCACTTGCCATGTAATACTTTTAGGAGCACTTGTGGCTCAGAAACATGAACATCGACTTTCAAAAATTAACAGTGAATATGAACTCTCTTGAAAGGGAAAATTAGTTCCAGAAATTAATTGCACGCACAATATGTTCGAGATAACACACCAAAATCTGAAAAAAGAAACTATAATAGGAAACGAAACTTGTTTTAGTCAAATGTGTAAGAAAAGAGCAGTCTGCAAGTGAACTTTTCATTTATCAGAGTCCAACAAATAAAACAAGATGTGTCACAAGAAAAATAAATCCATGACACACTACTGCGGGATGCTGCTAAGCGACGCTATAATCAGAGACCCTTCAATGAAACTGTGTGCGATGTATTAATCGCAAACGGTAATGTAAAAAGCCATCAAAAAAGATGCAAAACGTTTGCGATGTTGGATACATCAAACACGGTTCGGATTTTACTTACGTGTGCGAAGAGGGGCATGCGGTTCACTCCAATGAACTATTTGCGATGAAGAAAAAGAACTGAAACGGGCAGCCAGATGAAAGTGTGTGTGATATACGGCATACAGTTCACTTGATCAAGGCATTCAATGGGATTGATATATTCCCCAACATTTTCCACTTTCAGGTCTGCTAGTATCTGCAAACGAAGACAACATATTAGTGCCTAGTTGCAGATTTGAACACTTCGGGCCTCTTTGATTTGCAGGATTTCTACAATACATGAAAAGAATGAAATGCCATGTTCCATTTTTCATGATCAACTTTTATCACGAAAGCATATAGGGCGAAGGAATAAAATGCATACAACACTAGCATCTCAAAAAATATATTATTGAAATCCTCAAAGTTTTCTTTAAAAATTATTCTACATTTGTCATTGTAATCATGGGTAAAAGTAACAAAAAATTGAGCTCCGTTGTGGTTAACAATTAACAGGAAAGGAGCATCACCTCGATGTATAACTTCTCTGTGCAAGAAAAGCATCCAAGGAATCTAACAACTTCATCCAGATCGGGCCGACAGATTGTAGTGACAAGATCTTCACTGTGTGTAGAGGCCGGGTCAAGCTTGTGGGAATCATTTTCTGGATGTCAGGCAAACATATAGATCAACAAAAAATAGATATATAATAATATATAAGAAGGACAAGAAGAAGACTGTTGTATCTGAATGAATAATGATCAAGTAACAAGGTCGTTGAATTCAGCACACGAATAACCCAACACCGTCAATTTTGATGCGTGAATGACCCTGATTCTTGCTGAACCTAATTTATTAATTATATACAATCTCTCGAGGAAAGGCACATTCTCAGTGACCATATCATGAAACACCTCAACTATCAGCCTCGAGCGGCACTAGCAATGCACATAAATCACACAGGCATTCGTCGAGGTGATGTGGAGGCTACCGAACCCATCCATCGCATGAAGACGAAGGTACTTGAGCATTGTACATCCGACGAGCAGGCGCTCCAAATCCTCCTTCGAGATGCGGACGACAATGAGCTTGAGATGCTTAATTTTAGGGAGATGAAGAGCGTGCGCGGCATCAATCCCGGGGAAAATGCACCGCCTGTATGTAGCACGACACAGCATCGCCGCGAGGCGGAGCACAGATGGCGGCAGTGAGCAAGGACGTCCAACATGAAAGCTGAGTCCTCAAGCTGATCCAGGGCTGGGCATAGGATCCAGTAATGCAACCTGGCTTCGGTGTTGTTGTGGGGTTTGAGAATGCCGATAGCAAGGCGTCTGATCGGCCCAGGGTGCATGGCGTGGATGTGGGACAATGCGTCCTGGCGTTGCTGCTCCCCGCTGCAAAACTCGTGGTCAACGATGAGGTCTAGGGTAATGGAGCCCTAGAGGGGGCGCCACCGCCGTGAGAGGACAATGGTCCACACGCCATATTTGACAAGGAGGTGAGATATGATGGTTACCAACATCTCATCGTGGAGGCTGCTGATGAAGTCCACGTTCTCCGGAGCCTCTTGCGGTTCTGGCTCGACCCGCCCTCGCTTGTTGTCCAGCTCGTCCTCCATCTCGCAGCAGGCGGCGGTGCTTGTAGAAAAGAACAAAGGATTGTTCTACGTACCTTCCCGAGGCAGCCGGAACAAAAGGTCAAAACTAGCAATAAATTGCAGTGCTCGCGGCTCGCTTCCCGGTATGGTGAGCGTGCGCGGCGGACTGCTCACAGTCGTCCTGTCTAATCAAACATCTGTCTGTCTGCGGTAGTAAATGGTTAGTTGAATGCCCAAGCTTGGACTAATATGACCGTTTGTGATAATAGGCGGTGGCAATTTGTTAAAAATTTCTAGGAAAATCAGTGTATAAAAAGGCAAAATGAACCCTGAATAATTTCATATGTTGAGCACAGTTGCATGTTGCCTCTATAAAATAAATCAAGGCAGGAAGACACAGTGTATGTCATTTCGCACTCAGAACATATGACCAAGTTCCCCCACGGAACCATGAGGCTTCTTGATAGAAGCTCCGGTTTGTACGAAAGAAAATATGGGTAAAAGCTGAGTTGAAAAGGGCAGCAATATCTAACCCTAGCTTATAGAAAGTACAAAAGCACGATGATTAATTGTTCATCAGGTTTACACAAATTCCTGATTGAATGGGACAATAACAACTAACTCAAACAAAGTTTTCGGCAGTCACAATCAAATGGATCGGCCTGATCCATAAAATCAACATCCTGGGCCAGAAAATCCACTGGTACGTGAACACAAGTTGTTGTAAATAGAATCCGTGCACTTTCGGAAGCCCCTTTGTCCACCAGAAACTTCTTTTTATGCTGTTCAATGTGTCCATCCGTGAGAAAGTTTTTGTTAGAAAACTTAATCCTCATGGACAATAGTACTCTTGCATTCAATAGGAAGAATGTGACAAAGTTAGTGTGCCTGCACAGCGGACTGCTGCCATACCTACCGTCATTTTACATACACTAAAAAAAATCACTTCCATGATGATACGTATTTGTGACAATAGGTCACGTTTTCTTTCATGCATGTGCATCCATGACGATTTTATGACTGAATCAAGATAGTCATACCTGTGATATCGTAGAAGTGTTCCATGACAATACCAAAATTATCATCATGGAAAGTGTCCACTTCCATGACGATAAATGGCGCGTCATAGAAGTGCATTAGTCAAGGGTAACCCACACGTGGCATCCACTGTAACGAGTCTCCATTAAGCTATCGGGTCTGGTTTTAGATCCGATAACCTGCTAACAGCCAAGACCAATGGGGATTTTCCACGTGTAAAATTTTCATTCGCCGAAGGAACCACATGTCAGCTCCCCTGTGCGGATAGATGTCAACCATCCAATGGACAGGAGGCGCCTATGATACATCGACACGTGGCACGTCCCAATAGTGGCCCATTCAGGTCAAAAGGCCGGCCCGTTTGAATTGGTCAAATGATAATGGGACAACGCATAGAAAGCCTGTTAACGGCCTACTTGCATAAAGCCCATTCAAGCCCGATAACTAATGACCCATTTTGGCCTTTCCGAATTTGGCCCACTAGCTTCATCTAGGCCATCCAATATTATTACAGT